GTCCTGCCTGTCTCACTCAGTCCCCATCGGCCAGACCACAGAAGCAAGCTAACCTACTGGTTGGAGAATATGCCCCCTGGTGGTCAGTGCATGTCATAGGGTGCAGTTGAGTGGCCTTAACATACATCATTAGCATATTATGCTTTGATTTGTTGAATGGCCAACCAGACACTTAGCATAGTAGGCTTTTATTATTTAGAATTGGAGTTGTGATAAATTCAATTCATATTTTTGGAGTAATTTTATGTAAGATATCAAATGTTTATGTATACAATTGTCTATTTTTATGTAATATCTTTAGTTATATCTTATTTCATTCATCATATTGATAATTGTTTTTCAGTCAGTCTTGCTAGATGTTTATCACTTTTATTAATTTTTTCGAAGATCTATGTTTTTGTTTTGATTTTGTATTTTAAATTTTATTAATTTCTGTTTCTATCTCTATTATTTCCTTCCTTCTGATTTTTTCTTTTCCTTTTTACTCTTCTTAATCTTTATTTAAAGTGAGTTTCTTATTGACAAAATAAAATTGATCATGTTTTTAAATCCAGTCTGATAAACTTGTTTTACTTGGTGTATTTATATTTAATGTTTAAATTTATCATGTTTTTCATGTCATATTAATTTATTAACTATGCTGTTAATACAATTAACATCGCATAAGGATGTTTTTGTAAGTGGAAAAATACTCAGAAGAATGCTAGTGTTTTTGAGATGGAATTGACATGATAAGGTTTTATCATTTTATTTTTTGTATTCTATTTATTCCTTCTGTTTTTATTTGTTTCCTCTGACATTACCAAGAAATCTCTCTCTTTAAAACTTATCTCTAATCTCTGTCTCTGCCTCAAGCTACTAACCTATTATCCTCAATAGCATCATAACAAGACTTTCTCAGTGATCTGTAATCATGACTATTGTTATGGTTTAAAAGTTATCTCAACTAAACACCATTATTTTCTCATTTCTAAATTTAACAGACTTTTTATGGTCCTTTCTGCAAACAGTGACCCAGATTTTTCCTAAAACGCTCTTCTGAGACTGATTTCTTCAGAAGGCCATCTGGAATCTTATCTGACTCCAGTTCTTCCTGTTGAGTTCTTTTTTTTTTTTTTTTTTTTTGTCTGCCTCAATGTGGAATTCAACCCCTCTCCCCAGCTGTCACTTGCACATGATCAATTCCCAAACCTCTATCTCTTCCTATACATCTACCTCTATCTTAAACTTTGGAATGGCATTTCTGAACTCTGTAATGCATCCTGTACCATTTTCAACAGGTTGTCTTTTAGTATCTCCAACTTAGCAAGCATGCAGCCTTCTTTACCACCACCCTCCTGCCACACCCACCATTGGGAGACATTGCTAAAATACAATTTATAAGCAAAGAATTATTGCCTGGCTGGAATGGCTCAGTAGTTGACCTATGAACCAGGAAGTCGTGGTTCAATTCCCGGTAATGGCACTTGCCAGGGGTTGCAAGCTTGATCCCCAGTCTGGGACATGAAGAGGCAACAGGTCAATGATTTTTTCTCACCATTGATGTTTCTCTCTTTTTTCCCCTCTCTGATATCTATCTATCATCTATCTATCTATCTATCTATCTATCATCTATCTATCTATCTATCATCTGTCTATCACCTATCTATGAATTAATAATGGTGGAACTGATTTTAAAAGAAAATAAGCAAATGTAAAAATTTCAATCTCTGTGCTGCTGAGCTGTCATAGACATGCAGAAATTTTTTTCAAGAACAGGATAGATGCTGATTATGATGACCTGTATTTTCAGGGCTAGGGAATTCTTTCAGTTCATCCACCTTACTAGAAATGCCTTTCAAGAAAATTACCTCTTTGTTCTTTAAGCTCTGGAGGCAACTTTGTGATCCATAATTAGATTGAACAGAAAGGCAGAGGCCTGTTATTGTGACTGGGATATAGCTGTTACATACTCATAACGTAGCATTCTAGTTGGTAAATGATTCTCTTGTCAGTTTGCTTCATGTGAGTCAGTGCCCCAGAGTCGGTGAACTCTAGGTGAACTGTTGACAGATCAAGTGTCTGGATCTGTAAAACCAAAGACCAGCCTTTGGACTGTAGTGGTTGAAAATAGACCATGAACCTGAGAGGTGAGGCCCAGCTATGGAGGTCAGCAGACTCTTGATATATTTTTAGCCATACACTTTGCCTTACATATCTTTGTCCCACACAGTGCATATCACAGTGCAGTGTGAAGGAGTTCAACACTTTATTATCTGACGTCAGATAGTCCATGGAGTTTCCAAAGAACAATGTTAAATGCATTCAATCTCACAATGAAAATTTCTAGTAGCTCGCAATCCCACAATGTGAATTCCCAGAATGCCCACAAAGCTTCCATGGCATGAAAAACAATAGAAATAATAATAGCAATAGACACAGAAACAGTAAAAACAACAAAGAAGCCCATAAAGTGGCAACAGCCTCGACAATGGTATGTTTACCATTTATCGAGTGTGTTCTTTGTAGGTGCTCTGCATATTTTATTTCATTTCATTGTCCCAACATTCTATGAGCTGTAAATTATTCCTAGTACTTAGTTGAGGCACACACAGCCAAGGGATGTTAAGACATTTGCCCATGGTGCACAAGTAGTAAGTGGCAGAGGTGGGCTTAAATTGAAGGCCCAAAAGCCAATGCTCTTAAGCATAATGGACATTTGCAGTTTTGCTGTGAACTGTTCACCCCAGAGGAAATAGTATGAAGAATTAGACTGTCAAAATTTACATAAATCTGAGTATCAGTTATATTGTTTAAAACTACAAATAGCCATCCTTACAGGTAGGCTATCTGTTGCTTTAATAGTTCCTTTGAGAAAGGTGCAGTGTAGTTTTTGACCAAGTTCTGCATAAGAAACCAAAAAGTCAAGTGAGACCCAAGATACAAGTACATAAATGTGTGTTGTGTTGAGTGTGCATTTCTGAAATTAAAATCACAAGCTGACTCACTGAGTTGTTGACTCTGTTCTATCCTGTTCTATTTGTTTTGTTAGAGTGCTGATCATAACTCACTATCCTGATTTCCTGACACACTCATGGGTCAAGATGCATAGTTTGAAGAGCCCTGGCAGGTGGGAAGAATCTTTTCATAGGCGTGAAAACCCTGAGTCCTTTGCTAACTCCACCTGTGAAAGTGAAAACTTGGCTTTCACCAGCACACTGAGGTGATGGCTTTGAATTACCTTTCTGTGGCAATCTAGCACCAGGGAGTGTCTGCCTTCATTCAGGAGGTTTCTCATCAGGTACTCAGGAAGGGCTGCACATTTTCACCCCCTCTGGGAAGTACCGACTGCCCCCACTTCTTCCTACCCCCTACCTCCTGATCCATGTCTATTTTCTGGGGGGCTGCAGTCTTCTCAGCCCAGGAACCTGTGTCCATCCATAGCTGTCATTCAGATCAGGACCATCAGTCCTCGCAACAATGTCAGACCCCAGCAATATAACCTTGAGACTTAAAGCAAGTAAACAGACTATTTACATTAATATGGATTTGTAGTTGCATCTGTTTTGTCTCCATTCCCCTCTCCCATCAGACTTCTAAACCATAACAGATCTACTTTGAATTTAGGACAAGGTTTGTGCACTGGGAAATGGAAACTCATCATATTTGCGGGCAAAATTCTAAACCTCCTGCAAAGAGAGTATAAACTTACCAGTCCAGTAAAGTAAAAGAGAGAATTAAAGGCATTATATTCACTTGTGGAGAGAGAAGGTTCTCTGACTCCAGTCCCAAAATGATTTTGAAAATAAAAAGGTGCTCAAAGATTTATGGTAAATCTCCTTAACCTAGAAAGGTAATTATTTACGTGTGCATGCACGCATGCGCACGCGCGCGCGCGCGCGCGCGCACGCGCACACACACACACACACACACACACACACACACACATACACACACACACCTCTCCTAAAGCTGATGCTAATAAGTGAGGATTCCCAGGTGTCTTATAATAAACAAAAGTTAAATGAAGGAGTTGTATTGTTATCACCACTTAACGGATGAGGGAATGAAGGCTGAAAGGCTCAACTATTGCTTAACCAAGTACAGTTAGTAATGGCCCAAGATGGGGTATCTGTCTTTAAACTAAGCATTGTTTTACTATCACTGCTCCAAGGTGAGGCTCAAAACTCAATCAACTTCTTGTTGTTCTCTCTCAAAGTGAGCTGCCAGCCAGGACTGACACTAAACAACTGTGTTAGACCCTGAAACTTTGGCTCTTCATTGGAAGGTATAAGATCACTCTTTTTACTACTGGGAAAACATTCGAACTAACTGAAGTTTTCAAAAATAGAGTCTGAATGACAACACAGACCAAAACAATCTCTCCATTTGCCATGATTAAATGGTGGTGGACAGAGACTTGGCTTGGGCGGTGAACACACGATACAGTGTACAGATGGTGTATAATTGTGCTCCTGGAACCTGTATAATGTTCCTTAACCAGTGTCACCCACTGTGCACTTACCTTCCAACACTAAGGAAAAAAACAGCAATGCCTTAAGCGTGCTTCCATCCCATTAAACACATTTTCATTGCACAGCAGGTGTGTATTTTTTAATAAGCTTGTGAGAAGCAGGCAATGTAGACTAATAAACAGACACTACAAACAGTTCTTAGTATGAGTACCCCAAAGATTACAAACTGGAGAAAATGTTACAGCTAATATTTGAAATACAGGACTCTAGTATGGGAAACATTTACTAAGGTTGCATTTCATATTTTCCTCAAAGATTAGGTCACATTCCTATGAATTGTCTCAAATAATGGTAATCTCACCAATTATCTTGTACCAGGATTCATTCTTTAACACTTTGCTATATTACAGTTCAGGCTACCCCTTAAGAAATGCCTGCATTAATTCTATACATCCCATAGGATTTGCCAGGTGGTATAACAGTACATGTCAAAATGTGGGGAAACCTGTGAGTATTAACACTATGATAACATAGAAGCCAGCAGACCACATTTCATAGTTTTATTGAGACTTTTCAGTTTTAATTGCCTATGATAGGTACAATGATATCAAGGCTCTGCTGTTATTATCAATAGCAGATGCAAAATTGGCTGCCATGCCTTAGACACACACACACAAGCACGCACGCACGCACGCACGCACATGTACACACAAACACACACGCAACATTGTTCTTTCCTGCATGCAAATGTATAGGAAATGTACATTCCTTTTATTAGAAACACAATTGTGCACAATTAGTTTGGAATTTGTTAAGCTACCATTGATTTAGATAACCTGAGAAAGCTCAAAAAGTCAAGTAACACTGTTTCCATACTGCTCATTCAATATCACTATTAATCACAAGGAAACCCAATTCAATTATCTATATAAAGTCACAGATAATATAAAAATAAACATTTTTGCAAAAGCACAGACTACAATTCAAATTCACAAATTTTGATATGTCACGTATATCTCCCTTCATATTAATTTGTAATGACATGTATAATACAATGTACAACAGAATAAAAATGTAACAGAATTCAGCAGCCAAATATAATACACTTATCACTATTAACACTTGGAATTAAAGTTCTCAACTGAAAAACTGAAACATTAAAATGATTGGCAATGTTAAACTTGCTGGTATTGTGTTACTTAGAAGCTCTGTCTCAGAGAAATTAAGATTATACTATTTCACCTTAAAAAGAAACACAGCACAGAAATTTAAGCAAGACTAAGCACAGTAACAGATTACACCAGCTGTCGTTTTCTCTCCCATCTTCCTTAAGTTTTTCTCTAAATTCTAATGCTGCTTCAAAAGTGCCCAACCCACCAGACTTCTAAGTGAATCTACTTTGAAGCTAGGACAAGCATTGCATTGGGAATTAGAAGCTCTGATCATATTTGAGGGTACAATTTTAAATGTCCTGAAAAGATAATATCAACTTTTCTATAATTTTATATACAGACCCAGATGTTTTCTATTTGCTATTGAGCTAATATAGTTGGACACCAAATTGTGTCTGTATAGAAAGAACCCTAAATAAAAAGTTAAATGTGCAAAAGGGTATCTAGAGTAAATCAATTATATCACAAAACAGATTTCTCTATTTAAATTAAAAAAATCTAAAGACAAAAATGTCAAGATACTAATATTTGAAAAGCATCATAATATACAATAATTCATTTTATGTATGTATCATTTATTATGCAAAGATACCAGTGCAACATTAATATTGTACATTGTAATAAATATAATTTACATCAGTATGTGGGATCTTTCAAGAGAGTCTTTCAATCTGTACAACTGAAGAACTGTAAGCTTCATTAATAAATACTACGATAGCTACAATTTGACCAGCAAAATTAAAGCTTCAATAGATCTCTTACTATTGTAGTTACACATCTTTATTGTCTCTAGTCCAATTCCAGCAGCTCTAAGCATTTCTCTTTTGTATCCAAAGGCAGCGTAGTGTACTGCCAGCCTAGATGAGAAAACTTACAGGACACATCACAATTGAACTTCGTAAGAATTTTTAGCCAATGACTGGAATTGAAGAATTCTGTACAGTAGAAGATTTCATACATCGCTGTCTGTCTGTAGTCTTAATGTTTCCACAGTCCCAACCGAGAGCTGTTATCCAACCTTTTTATTCCAAAGAATGGACTTGAAAGGGTCGAGAGTTCCATAGCCGGCCGAATGGCAATGCCATGGTTATCAATTAACTGATAAATCCCCTAATTTTAACAATTCTTTCCTCAAAATGCCAACACACTTCTGCATTTATTAAAATACTTATTCATATCATCATAGGTCAAGAATCAGATGGTAAGATCACTGCTTCATCCTGACCCTCATGTCACCATTAGCACACACAGACTCTTCCCAGAGAGCTCTTTTTGCCTGGAAGGAGCCAGGGAGATCATACTTGCTATTATTGGACATGCATCCACATGCCACCATTGTCTACTGCGGGATGTACGAAGCTAAAGAAGAAACACTCTGGAAAAAAAAAAGAAAAAAAAGAAACATGCCATGGAGTAAAAGGGCATTTCTAGTCACTGTCCACCTCCTCCATGGACCCACACTCCGAAATAAAGTTCTCCAGAAGCTGAAACAATGTATGTAACGCATACTGTAAATCAGCTGGACAGCCTGAGACCTAAAAGGAAAAAAAAACAACAACAAAAAACTAAAGTAAATGATGAGGAAATACGACAGAGATGTGTGCCAGCAACCTCTGAGTTTAAAGATGGTACAGGCTTTGAAATTTCCATTTTGTTCAATTTCGTGATACTGATCTGGTCTCACTGAGCATGATGTTTGAAAGGGACAGCACAGTCATAACATCAGTTAGGCTTCTTTCTGGAGGGCTCCAGAGAATGCTGGAGGACCCTAACCAAGAGAGAACCCAGCTAACCCTTTCCTTCCTCAAAATGAGTAGGTGCAGGGTAAGATATCTAAAAAGGTTTCTTCTACAAGAATTCTGTGCATTCACACTGAACATGCAAAAAAGATCCACTTTTTAGGAAGCTACACACAGCTTTTCTTCCGTGGTCTTAGAGGCCTGAGACTGGATAAACTGAAGTAACTCTTAAGAAGAAACTGAAGGTCTCAGAAATTTGTAACCCATCCGGTTATTGCACAAACTGAAGGCAATCCCAGACTTACCTGTCACTATGCCCCACAGGTGCTTAAGGCACAAACCCAGTGATTTCAAACAAGTTATTCCACCAGGAGCTGCAGACTCTGCTTCTGCTGTTGGCTTTATTGGGACTGGTTTTCACAATTAAACATTCCTTTGCTACTGGATTTATTTATTGGGAGCCATAAATTGTGTCACCTCACTCCATTATTCTACATTATATAGAATGTTAAGGCTTTTTAAGGGCTAGAAATGCAGCAAGTCAATATTCATTGAAAAACGCCATTAAAATGATTGAAGTATTTCACAGATTTCTCATTAATGCTTAGTAGAGAACAAAATGTAAAGCAGTGGTATTCTCTTACAAACTATTAGTAATATGATTACCGGTTGTCGTTTCTACAACTTACTTTTCACTGCTGTGGTTCCTTAAGTACTTACATTTCATTCTCCTTACTTCCCTTTCTCATATAGTTCAAGGTTTTTTTGTGTGTTTTTCCCCCCCTTTAAATAGGAGGATATAAGATCTAGTAAAGGATTGTAGCTTCTCATTCTCTCCACACAACCCACATGAATTCCGACTTCTTTTCATATTGCATTTAATGTTTCCCAACATTTCAAAGAAGCAAAAGAAAGAATCTTTAAACCACGATTTTTAATTAAAACTCTTAATCTAAAAATGTCTCCTGCTGCCTCATACATCTGAGAACATGCTTGCAGGCTATGCATTATGATCGACTGTCAACCACTGTCCCTCTGATAATACCACTCTCCTGCTCAACAACCCTCAGCTTGCTAACAGTTATTCAGCTTTAGTCTGTGATCTATCTGTGATTTTTCAAAACTGTTTTTACAGATGTGAGGGAGCATTTGTACTGGAGCAGAAACTCCTAAGGCATCACACAGCAGTGATGCAAGTCAATGTCTTTGCCACAGGAAGTCTAACAGAGTTCATGGTGTTGACCAGGAAAGTACAAGCACTTTGATTATCTTGAATGCATTTCTCATAAGATAATACAGAGTCTCCTCCCCGCAAAATGTATACACACTTTGAAGGCAGTGTTGATTAAAATATACTTCAATTTCAAAATAGAAAGTATAGCTCTCAGGTGTTAAAGTGTGTATGCATTTTTGGGGGTTATATATATATACATGCAGGCTTCCATCATCAAATACTTAGCACCCAACATAGCATGAGCAGTTTTCTGGGGGGAAAAATTGGGAAATGACTCTTTAGGCTTTTAAATTCACTGTTTTTACTTTTCCATTCAAGTCTCTAAGAAACTTAGCTAGCACCTGTGCCTGACAGGCCCAGAACTGACCCCTAGCTGAGACCGCTGTTCATTTGATACTGAATGCATCATATTTCGTGTTTTGCTATATACCAGGCTAACTTTAAAAAGTGGAGCTTCAACTTGTTGCCACCATGGATCATTAAAATCATTAAAGACTGGATGCATCACCAGCTCAAGTTCCAGGTCATCAGTTTTCCTGGAGAAACTACTAACAGCACAAGAGCTCCAAGACTCAAGTGCACTTTAAACAGGAAAGCTCGTAAGTGCTAAAGGCAGAAGAGTAGGTGAATGTTTAACTGGGCTAGTATCTTTTTTATTAGGCATGCTTCTGGTGAGAAAGAAGGGAAGCCTTGAGAGCAAACCCAAACAAGCTAAGTGTGAGTGTGGACATTTTTTTTTTTAACTCACTAAGTTCTGGGTTTGATTTTCTCTCTCTAAACTTTTAGAAACTTGAAAGCGGGGGACCAAGCACGTGGCTCTTAGCAAGCATCCTACCATGTTCCAACAGCCGGGCGTGTGGGGATTTCTCGCGTCTTCACAAGCTCGTGTCTCCATTCTGCTTGAACTCGGACAAAATGTTGAGGGTCATGTCCTCACTCTTGGACTGCAGATTGGCTTCGCTCCTCCGGGAAGCCTTCCTGGTGGCCCGGGAGAGCCTCCTTCGGAAAGTGTCCCCAGCCAAGAAGTAGAGGATCGGGTCCACGCAGCTGTTAAGGCTGGCCAGGCCTCTGGTCACCTGGTAGGTGGCGTACACCCTGTCGTTGAAAGCGCACATTTCCGGGGTCTGAAAGTCCAGCCGGGCGCGCAGATTCATCGTCTTCATGACGTGGAAGGGGATGTAGGACACGCCGAACACCGTGAGCACGATGATCACCAGGTAGATGGACTTCCTCCGCAGGGGCGAGTTGTCCAGGTCCTTGTAGATCAGGGCCCTCACGATCAGGCCGTAGCAGCCCAGGATCAGCACGAGGGGGATGCAGAACATGGCCACGGTGGTGCACATGCTGTAGATGAAGTAGCTCCGCAGGTACTCGTCGGTGGTGGTGTCGTAGCAGGTGAGGGTCTTGTTCTTGCGGAGCCCCGTGCCGGAGTAGAAGAGGATGGGGGAGATGCCCAGGACCACGATGAGCCACACGAGCACGCTGATGTACACGGCGTTGCGCTTCTTGAGGCGGCCCAGCGACTGCAGCGGGTACACCACGCCGCTGTAGCGGTGCGCGCTGATGCAGGTGAGGAAGAGGATGCTGCCATAGAGGTTCACGTGGAAGATGAAGCGCTGCAGCTTACACATGGCGTCGCCGAAGACCCAGTCGGTCTTGTTGAAGTAGTAGAAGATGAGAGCGGGCAGCGTGAGCACGTACAAGAAATCGGCCAGGGCCAAGTTGAACATGTATACCGAGATGCCGCTCCAGGGCTTCATGTGGAACACGAACATCCAGATGGCCACGCTGTTGCCCAGGAAGCCCACGATGAACACCACGATGTACACGATGGGCAGGTAGAAGAACTGGAAGCCCGTCTTGGTGAGCGAGCAGCGGAACGCGGCGGCGGCGGCGGTGGAGGAGGCGGCGGCGATCGTGCTGTTGTTCGCGCCCCCCCACGGGGAGCCCGGGCCCGCGGCGGCGGCGGCGGCGGCGGCCAGGAAGGCGGCGTCCGTCCCGTTGGGGATCGCCGACCACCACGGCCCCTCGGCCATGCTCGCGTCCCGGCGGACTTAGGCGGAGGCTCCGAGGAGCGAAAGGCGGAGAGAGGGCGGCGGCGGCGAGGGGCGCAGCGCGCATCGGAGAAGGGGGCGCGCGGGAGGCAGCGGGCGCCGGGGGGCCCCGCGGGAGGGGGCGCGCGGGGGGCAGCCCAGGACGCCGGCTCCGGACCCGCGGCCCCCGCGGGCCATGAAACCCGCCCGAGGCTGGGGATCGAACCGGGCTGGCGGGCCGGCGGGCGGGCCAACAACTTCCCCGTCCGGCCCGGCAAGCAGCGCCGAGGTTACACAACGAGGGCGCGCGGCGCACCGCCGCCGCCGCCGCCGCCGACAACTTTCCCCCGATCTGAGCCCGGGGCTCAGGGAGACCCAGCCAGACTCACAGTGCCGCGCTCCTCCGGCGTGGGGAGGGCGTCCCCCAGCCTCCGTGCCCGAGAGATCAACTTCGTGTGGGCATCTTCCTCCTCCTCCTCCCCACCTTGCAAGCGGGCAGCTCGGCTCCGGGGCCCGCGCCGCTCCCGCGTGGCGGCTGCAGCCCCGTGCGCTTTGGGATCGGATCGCTTCCGCTCGCCGCCGTCGGGACAGCTCCCCGACCCTCCTCCTCCTCCTCGAGGCCCCGCAAAGTCCCGAGTGCGGGAGGGAGGGCCGGCGGGAGATCGGCTCCCCGCGAGGGTGGGCGGAGTCTGGGCTCCCGGGCGCTCCGCCGGAGGCGAGGGGCGTGCCTCCACGGAGCCCGCCCGGCTACCCTCCCGCGATCGGCAAGGGGTTTCTGCCCTCTGAGTCCGAGGGGGATCTTCTAGGATCGGGGGTCCGCCGTTGGCCGGGGGCGCTCCCGCTGCTGCCACCAGAGTCCGCCGGCCGCGAGGACTCGGGCGCTCCCGGCCAGGGCTGGCTGCCGGGGAGCGATTGGCCCGCGAGCGCTCCCTGCGCCCTTCCGCCGGCTATCTCGGCGAAGTGAAGTTGCTGACACACAGGAAACCCTTCCGACCGCTCCGAGCCTCCCGCCTGCAGCCCTAAGGCCCACCCGTCTAGCTCTCGATTCCAAAAGTCTGCCTCCAGGGCCCCGAGAACCGAGCCAGGTGTTGGCAGGTGCCAAGCAGCCGGCAGTCCCCGCTGGGAACGCCCTGGCTCTGCCCGGCGCTTCTGCACCGAGACCAGATTCCTCGCACAGGCAGGAACCTGCTACTCAGAGAGAGCCCAGGCTTTTAAGGGAGGGGAGGTTAGGAGGGGGTGGAGGGGACTCTCTTTCTGCCTTTCCAGTGTGCCTTTTCCTTTTGTCAACATTGATTTGTATTAATGAATCAATCAAAGTTTAATAAACCGGCGTCCTTGGTAACACCAACGTGAGGATTTCTAAGAGGGACTAGTAAAATGATTGGTGTATACTTCACGTGGCTTCAGCACCATTTAACTGAATACCCAAGCTCCCCCAATTCTCCAGTCCGGTACATCTCATTAAAGATCAGAGGCTGCACTGCAAATAATTCAAAATGTATCGTTTTGGAAGTAAGCTGAATATGAAATACAGCTTTATGTAGGAGAGATGTAAAGGACACTTAAGACTCCAAAGTGATTAAGGTATGGTTTGGGGGTTTTATGACCAATCTTAATGTCTTTAGGTTACAATGATTAGTCACAAGCATCTCTAGGAAGTACCTTAAGTATATCGGTTGGGACTTTCTTAAATACTACCTTTATTGAAAAACTTGTTTTCGTGGCTTGAATGCATCAAACATTTAGCCAATGCCCTGACTGGTTTGGTTCAGTGAATGGAGCCTTGGCCTGCAGACTGAAGGGTCCCAGGTTTGATTCCAGCCAAGGCATGTACCTTGGTTTGGTCACATCCCCAGTAGGGGGTGTGCAGGAGGCAGCAGCTGATTGGTGTTTCTAGCTCTCAATCCTTTTCCCTTCCTCTCTTTAAAAAAAAAAAAAAAAAAAAAAAAAAGTCAATAAAATATATTTAAAAAAATTAGTCGATACATTTCAAAATTGTATTTAAGTTTAATTGGAAAATAAATGAGTTATTAGCCATTCAGGGAAATATTTCAAAGGACCCAAACAGGAATACACATTACCTAACACTTCTTGACATGAGCTAATTAATGGAATATTTTATGTGAAATATTTGCAAAGGGTTTTCTTGTAGATGAAAAGAAAATCCGAAAAGAAAATAGCTGTAAAATATATACCATAAAGATTGCTTTCTGGCCCTAGATGTTACATGATAAAGTCTCTTTAAAAACTCTCAGAGGAAAACCACCAGCCCCTGGCTTTGATAGCACAAAGGAAAATTCCCAACAAGACCCAGATGGTCCCAGAGAGGAACTCATATAGAAATGACTGCATCCAAACACGTGGTGTTGGGAGTGCAATGGTATTTTGAATTGTGGTCAGTTGAACAGCATGAAAATAAATGATAAAACTAGAACAAATAACATAAGTAAAGGGCATGCATGCTGTTGTGTTGAAAACAAGTCTTAATCGAGTCCAATGCTACTGGCCTCAATTTTCTCATCTATAACATAAGACAGTTGAGTTTGATTATCTTTTTATTTTTCATTCCAGTCTCCAAATGAAGTGATTCTGTATTTCTGATCCCTAACATTTTTGTATTGTTTGATTGGGATGATACTCCATTAAGAAAGAGAGGGAAGCAAGGGAAGCCATTAAAAAGAATTCCATTGGTACTCAGTAGGTTTGAATTCCTCTCTGCTCTGCATTTTTCATTGGCAACATAAGCGATATGTAACCCCACTCAGAACTCTTTTGCAAATGCATTAACTCATAATGTGAGTGTTTTGAAATGTACACTTAGGGCAAATACCATTAAGTACATTTAAAAAAACTTGACACTTCCTTCGGAATTCGGAGGAGACTGTTGTCCAGAGTGTACCAAGGTCTTTTTTTAAATTTTTTATTAATGATATGAATGAGATAAATTTTGGAGTCTCTCATTAGGTTGAGCACTGTCCTATGCACCAAGAGGTCACGGGTTCAGTTTCTGGTCAAGGCACTTGGGCTCCATCCCCAGTAGGAGGCCTGCAAGAGGCAGCTGATGTATGCTTCTATATCTCTCTCCCTTTTCCTTCCTCTCTCTCTAAATTCAATATAAGCATATGTATTTCTTAAAAAGTAAATTTTGCAAGCACTTTTATATTCAGCATATTTAGCTACACATTTATGTTTGTTATATTTTTAATCAAAATTGTGCCTTATGGAAATAATTTACATGTATTCACTTATCATTTGTTGATAACTTTTATTTGTAAAACACTGTAGATTTAATGAAAAAAATTAAACTCCATCTAAGACCCAATAACATGTTGGTATTTATTGATATTTAAATACCAGTGATAAATGCCTTAAAGGTATGAAAAGAACATGCTGTATAAATTTAAGGAACTTTCCCCAAACTCTTTGTATGCATTTGTTTTGTATTTGATTAATGATGTAAATGGTTGACATCCAGTTCTCCAATTTAGTTGGAAAAATGCAAACAACATATAGAAATAACCATGATGATAACACATAACTTCTTATATACTTAGCACTGTGCATATCATACAAAGATTATCATCTTTAATCCTTAAAAATATCTTATGATGATAATTGACAATTGTATTCCTATTTTATAAGTGGTGGAACTAAGGCACAGAGAAATTAAGTAACGTATCCATAGTCACACAGTAAAACCGAGTTTTAAGCCTAAGCCATCTACCCACAAAGGCCACACATTTAACCACTATTCTCTGATGTAATACACACAAGTACAGTGCACTGATCGGAAAATTAACGTTTTAGTGACCATTACAATTGAGCATAGAAAGGGTTATTCCTGGAAGCCTTGAAAGGTACTGACAGTCAAAGAATCTTTCAGATGCTTCCCAAATGTTCTACCTCTCTACTTACGCTGTTAAAAATAGCCAACCATTTATATATGATCTGAGAAGGACACATAATCCTGGGGAAGTCAGATCTGTTTAGCCCCAGACTCATAAGCAAAAAACGCTGCCCCTCTTGTGTTGACAAACATTCTCATAACCATTGTTAGGAAATCACTCCTTTCTCCTTCCGTTAAGTCACAGAAAATCCAGCAGCCATGGAGAATCATTGCAAAAATTTAATCAAGGCCACAAGCATAAGAAGAAAAAAGAAACCTTCTGATAAATTTAAAATATTTCAATATAAAGTCTCTTAACTTTAAAGTTGAGACGTGATTAAGTAAACATACTACCTCTAATGCTAACCCTGATTTTGGTGGTAGTGTGAAAAAAGAGAGTGCCAATGGGCAGGCCACCTAGTATAATTTTGCAGATGAGAGGCACTGATTCCGTGACTTAGGAGTTCAGAGCATCCTTTGAGAGGTCTCTCCAAGTGTAATAAGTAAGATGCGATGACTTCTGAGATATACCTTAGGAAAGGGAGACTCTCTTATTACCCCAAAATAAAATAGGAGAAACAAATGGAAGAAAGGGCCTAAGGAATCACAGCCAGTGTCCCCCAGGGGAGTAGGAGAAGGCCAAGGTGGAAGGGAAGTGGACGAGGCGCATATGGAGGAAGAATAAAAGGATTGTCCTGCGCTGTGAAGGGCCCAGCTGCTCCTATAAATTATACACTTGTCATGGATCCAATAAGTAGACTTCCTGAAATTTATTTCATTAAGAATCACAGCAGGGTGGAGGACACAGAATAGGAGACAGCTGGGTTACTCCAAGGTTGAAAGAAGAGGAGAGGAGACCAAGAGAGCAGGAAGGCCCTGGGAAAGAGAGAGAAGGGGAGACAAAGTGGGTGGTGGAGGCCCAGGAGGAAAATGGAATAGGGGAAGAAGGAAAAATTCAGGTACATGCTCAGAAACAGGTAGAGAGATCTTAGGAAAGCTCACTGAGCATTGCTCTTCCACGATTTAGCTTTAAATCTGCGTGGGTGTCAGGGGAGGGATATGGAAGTGGTGAGATGATACAGGCTACATGTTCCTGTGGTCAGAGTAATGTCCCTATTGTGTGTTTGCTCCTTGGCAGATAACACTGGGCTAGGTTTTCCATCTGTGTCCTGTCACTGGCGGGAACCTGCAAAATCCAAGGCCATTGAGATCTTCCATCCTTCAGAAAGTTTCTCACTCCCAGATGCTCAGGAAGTTGCTTCCCTGTGTTCCCCTTTTAATATTTACTTCACTTATCCCCATCCATGTGAAGCCTTTAGTCTCTGGGATACTTTATAATATGTTCAAAAGAACTTTTTAAAATCCAGAATAAAAGTCTCCGGTCCTGGCTTTGTGGCCTCAGTCTTTCTCGAATCATCCTTATCAGTAAATATCCCCTTGCTCTCTTTGCCTCTGACCCCTCTGGGTTCACTAAGGC